TTATTTTTTTTTTTTATTTATTTATTTTTTTTTTTCAGTTTCTGCTCTTTGTTTCCTGCAAGTTTTTCACGCTGAAAACAATGAACTTTGCCCTATAGCCAATTCAAAAGTAAATATCTTATATAAAAATCGACTTGATTTGCGCGCAAGTGGAAAGCTTCACAAAGCTTGCACAAATTAGGAGCCACGGAGTCACTATCCCGCTCCCCCCTCTCTCCTTGCTGGCACTACGTTTGATGTACAGCGGAAAATTCACTGAACTTCTCTTCAGCTCCCCCCCTTCCCTTTCTCTTACCCACTCTCTCTTTGAGTGGCCTTCAACAACTTTCTTACACTTTATTTAATTAAAGATTTTTTTTCTCCTAATTTCTTCTTCTTCATCTTCATTTTCATCTTCTTTTTTTCTGTTTTTTTGTTAACTTTTTAGATTTTGTCGGTTTGCTGTCGTCGGGTCTTATCAGCGGGTCCAGCTTAGACAGTTGGGACACTTGTTCACCGCTCTCACATTTTGTATTGAGTGCGCGATTTGACTTTGAAGTGAAGCGCCAGCCGGCCAAGACTGGGGCAGGGGCGTGGGCGGGTGGGGGGTTTAAGGGGAAATAGCACTTTGGTTTTAGAAGTTTTTGTGTGCTGCACGTACACACATATACATATACATAGATAGTTTGGAATAGTTTTGTATTGGGCCATGCTCGACTAATGGATGTCAAGTTGAAGCAGAAGAAGGGTGTGTAAAAATAAGGCTATAATATACAGAGTAAACTATTTTTAATAGGTTTAAGATTGGGGAAATATCTTTATCAGTTACAAGCTATTCATACATACAAATATACAGATGTTTATCGAATTATTTCGATTCGAGTTAATGAAACAACACAAATGCATATATTACAGGGTATCTCAAGCAGAGCATATTGCATATATACTGACAGACTATTTCCATCCGATTTGAGCTCATTCCAAATGCAGGCTTCATAAACCCCCTGTTCAAGCACTCTTCATATTTACAGGGTATCTCAAGCAGGCCATATTGGACACAAAATACAGTTTCAATGGCGCTGCTAAGCGAAACAGCGTAAAATGTGAATGAATTAGCAGTCAGAGTGTGAGACTGCAATGCCAAACAACTGTCAGACTAACTAGTCAGACAGTCAACTAGTCATCCAGCCATTCAGTCAGGCAGTCAGGCAGTCAAACAGCCGAGGAGCTGCACAGGAGCAGGCTAAACCACGCCAAGCCAGGCCAATCCAAGTCGAGACAGGACTCAGCGCAGTCATATAACCAAGATAAAAACCGCACACTCGACGACTATAGAGGGTAGGGCAGAGAGCAGTAGTGACAGTGAGAGAGAGAGAGATGGGGAGGGGGAGGGCAATGAGGGCTGCAGAGTGAGGCGACTGGAGTGGAAGAGAGGAAGTGAGGGCAATAACAGGACAAAGCACACAGAAAGTTGCTGCAACATGGACATATTTTTTGTTGTATTTTTTTTTCCGTTTCTCCAACATTTTTTTAAACAATTTTTTTTTGTTGCTCCCCTTTTTGTTGTTGTTGCTTTTGTTCGCTCTCTGCAAAAACTTATAAACAGCGTGGAAAGTTTACCATAAAGGCTAAAGTACATATACAACTCGAGTGTTTTGCATTTTATGTTGCATGAAAAAGAAAAAGGGGGGAAAACTCTTTAAAGCGAAAACTTTTTTAATAACACAACGACAAACGCAGAGAACGACAACGTTTTGTAGTTTTGCTAAGGGGCACATTTTTCACCCACAAAAGTCACTTCAGACCCCGGATTCCAGACCGAACCAAACCAAACCAAACCAAGCCAAAACAAGCCAAACCAAGCGAAGCCAAACCGTACCGAACCCCGAACCGCCGAACTGTGGCACAAATTTAAATTGTTAGTTTATCTTTTGACACTGATTGGACTCACGATTTAAAAAGAAAAGAAATGAAAAGAAAATAAACGAAATGAAATGAAATGAGAAAGCATGCCTTCGCAGACAGCTGAAAGCCTGGTAGCTTAATGCTCAGCATACCTGAGAATTTCTGGATTGGCATGTAATCAGCGGAAAGTTGCGCCAAGCTCTGTCAGATTAGGCTAATCTAGATGACTGACGGCATCAAGAGTTCTTAAGAAATCGCAGATTTTGCTTTGAAGCATTCACAGCAAAGATAAGACTTACGAAAACTACTGTGGATATATGCATATGTATAGAAAGTTGATGCGAGACTAGCTGAAGATAGCAACAAATTATTCTTAAATGGAAAATTTCATTTAAAAATGTAGTATCATGCTTATTAAATAATTTTAATTTTTAAATTTAATTTTACAAATGTTTAAGGTATTTAAATTACTTAAAAGATTTATACAATTTAAATCAAGAAAATGTTATTATATATGGAATCGTTTTTAAAGAACTTGCGTATAATATATCTCCTATTTCGAGTCCTTCTAAATTAAAGCTCTTACATAAGTATTATTCATCTAAATATATTCCCAATTCTTGCCTCTCGTATAGAATATGTAAACTTTTATCACTCTTTCTTTCTTTCTCTCTTCCTCTCTTTCTCCCTCCTTCCTTCTCCCTCTCTCCCTTTCTTTTCTCTGCCCCTCTTTCGTTTTTCATTGCGCGATAATCGCGCATTTCAAAACTCCATAAACTATTGTTCTCATATTACTCATATTTTGCTTACAATCCCATTCATTGTTCTCATTTCCTTTTGCTCTATAAGCTTAATTCTTAGGCTAACATAAATATTTATGTATTTATTATTTGGTTTATCTTTAATTATCGCCGCTTTAACAAGGTTTAGTCAAGGTTGCGAGTCTCATTACACAAAGGAGTTAACCAAGCTGCTGAGCTGATTTTTCACCCTTTTATATGCACTAAGTGAAGGTATTACAGTTTTGACAGAAATAATGTGATATATATAAATAATATATATAAGTATCTATAAATATAATTCTACAGACTAAATCAAGCCTCACTATCTTCTACAAGACATCAGCTTAAGCTGACTCTAATATTTTTCCCTATAATGGAAATGCCCTCAAAGAGCATTTAATCTTCGATCTGTTTGCAGTTGAAACTTGTTTCTTGTTTGATATTTCATAGAATCCTTTTGTTTCAGGGCCGCCTCGTGGTTGCTCGTTGCGCTGTGCTGGCTCTGGCTCCGGCTCTGGCTGAGTGAAGGCAACGCCTGGGCTAAGTGGAATTCAATCAGGCTAATAGCCATGGCCAGATAATCGTGATTCAATTATGACAACGCATAGCTTGACAGCAGGAGCACAAAAGCAGCAGCAACAGCAGGAGTAGCAGCAGCAGCAGCAGCAGCAGTTAGTCCGAGTAGCTCGATTCAGTTTGTGGCGTTTAGTGTTCGTAGTTATGTTGCTGCTGCAATTGCTAACGAGTGGCACGCTGCGTGTTTTGCACCTGCTGAGCCAGCTCTTGGGCCTGACTGCCGCCTCCTGGCAGATGCTCAGCGGACGTGTGGGCGTGGGCGTGGCGCCTGCCAAGTGCGAGTGCTATTGGCGCCTGCATGGCTGTCTGGTGTTGTTGTTTGTGCTCGGCTTCTCTCCGGTTGCCATGTGGATGGTGATCACACGCATGGATTTCCTGCGCCAGAATCACTTGCTGCTCATGGTCGGCTGCCATCGATATGCGCTGCTGCTGGGCTCAGCTGTGCTCACGCTCTACCGGCACACGAGCCGTCAGTGTCGCCTTATCGCCTTGGCAAATAAGCTGCTTTGGTGTTGCCGCCAGCTGTTCATGCTGCTGCACACGTCCCGGCTGCAGAGCTCCGCCCACCGGCTGCACACGCGTGACCATTTGACAATTTACGCCCTGGCCGTCTCCATAGCCTGCTCCTGCAGCTACACCGTGTTCCTGCTGCGCTTCGATGTCGAGGCCCATCGCAGCTCCCTGTTTTTCTGCGCCGTGCTCTTCGTCTACGTCTGCCAGCTCTGTCTCCAGCTGAGCTTGGCACTCTATTTGCTGGCTCTGCTGCTAATTAGCCATCTGTCGCATCATTGCAATCTCCTTCTGGCTCAACTGCTGGCCGATGCCGTGCACAGCCATGCGGCTTTGTTTACACGCTGCCTGCCCCATCGCCAGCACTTGTTGGACTCGCAGCAGCGCTGGCTCGCGCTGGAGCTGTGGCGTCTGCTGCGCCTGCATCGCCAGCTGCTGAGGCTCAGCCTGCGGCTCTGCTCGCTCCACAACGTTCAGCTGGTCCTATTTGTGATTTTCGTAGCCGTCGAGAGCATTATGCATTCCTTTTTCAGCTACTTTGTGACCTTCAGCAACTGGTGGCTGCGCAAATTTCATGAGCCTGCCCCATGGAATGTCGAGGCGACGGTCTTCAATGTAGCTGTCTTCGTCCAGCTCACTCTAGTCATTGGCCACACGCATCGACTCCAGCAGATCTTTCGGAAAACGCGTTACATATTCAGTGCGGGCGTGAAGGATGTGCCCATAGACTGCAGCAAGGCTCTTAGCCAAACGGTGGGTAAAATTCCAAAAATATGTATATATAGTATAGAAAATATTGGCTTTTGAACTATTATAGAAAATATATTATTATATATGCACTGCTTTCATAATATAACATTTATTTGTTTCACATATTTCTTTATAATTTTTATTATATATATTAGAGATTTTTTTTAGGTTTAAAAAGATATATCTCATTAACGAACAGTCCGATTTAAGTGAAATACATTTTGTTAGATAATAATATTAAACGATTAAATTCGCAAATTTTTCTTGAATACACTTTTTTATTATTTTTCAAGAAAATATAAAAAAGTGTGCCAAATGTGTTTTTCTAAACACAAATGTATTATAAGTATTCTTATATATATATAAATATATACAGCTACTTTAATATGAGCATATACTTAATAATAGAACAAGCGCATATTCTACTGATTCATAGAGCAGTTTGATAAGGAATATAAAGTACATATGGATATATTATATATACCATTACAAATAGTTTAAACACGTAATCACCCTGTCTGTAGATATATATGTATAGCTATAGCTATGTGAGTACTTGTAAATATATTCATATCTATATAGATCAGTTTTAATACATGTATACATATATATAACCTAAGCCCCTTACTACTTCATCTTTATGAAGTATCTTTATATATAAAACATCAATTTCATATTCTGCTCTTTGCAGCTACATCTCTACGGATTACAATTGCAGGTGAACGAACGCGTTTTCCACCTGTTGGCCTGCGGTCTCTTCAAGCTGAACAATAGCCTCTTATTTGGCATAGTGCAAACAATTATAATGTACACAATAATACTCATACAATTTGATAAGATCATGAACAGATAGCCGCAATGAAAAAATAATGATGTTTGCACAGATCGAGACATATTTACATATAGAGATAAATATATACATCTGAGTACAATTTAAACCTGAGGCAAATATTTGGCAGACTTACGTGTCGTTGCGCTGACGACATTCAGCTGGTTCCCGGTATAGATTAGCAGGCTGATGGTTATTAACAGGTGCTCGCACCTGGACTTGTGCAGCTTCAGCATTTTCTCTATGGATTTATGATGTGCTCGCGCTCTGCCGATATCCTCGACTCAATCAATTTAGCCTTGAAGCCGCGCCGTATGAGAATCAACTGTATGTATGTATATGTATATATATTTATATACGTTTGGTTTTTATTGCAAAATCAAAACCAATTGAATTTCGTTGTATTTCATCTGAAAAGAAAGGAGAGGAAATAAAAAATTAATTGTCAAATACAAAAAAAGAAAAAAATGTTTACGCCGTAGTTTTATTCACTTTAAATGGACAACAGAGTGAGCACAAAAATATAATATAGATGAAATACCCTAACCAAAGATGGATATTTCGCTTTGATTGGGTTATTCAGTGAGAACAGTGGAATTTGTAGTTGATTTAATTAAGCTGTAATAATTTGCTGCTTGGCTTGAACTAGTATTTTAGTTAGGGTATGTAGTGGGCTATTATACAATATATTATGTATTTCTATACTAATCCACTTTTTCCCTATATGTAGTCTTTATATTATATATTTGTATACAGGGCATCTATAAGCTGATTTGAAAATATGAAAATGTGTAAATATTTAATGTGAACTGCTTTTGCCTTGAGTTTTTTCTTCAAGTGATCAAAAAACGTTTATGGACCGCGTCTTTCTTCAGAGTCTCGAGGCTGAACTATTTTTTACATCAGACCTTTCTCTCCAACATAAATATAAACATTTTATTTATTTATTTTTTATTCACATTAACTGAAAACAAAAATGCATTTGAATATGTCTTTTTATTTTACAAAGTTTGGAGGTATACAAAAATGTTGTTTGTAAAAAGCCCTAAAATATATATGTATATCTTTGTATATATACTTATATGCTATATACATATATGTCTTCTATATATATCTACCTATATATCGAGCTATATCTTTATCTTCTATCTTCCTTTAATTTATCTATACATATATCTATTTCTGCTTTTCTGTAACTTTACTTGAGCTCAACACTGTTAGCAGTAGAAATATTTGTAGAAATATAATGGAATCTTTTCAGGATCATGGGTTATTGTAATTTAATTATAAATATATTTTTTATATATTTTTTTAAGCCAGCAACTTTTACGTTCAATCTTTAAGCTTTAAATCAACCATAAAAATTTGGATTTTGATAACAAACAATTGATAATATATGTATATTAAATTTATAGCCTTTGAAACCCACTCTGAGTACCAACTTTATGCTTCAGTTCCGTTTCTAACTTATATAAACATGCATTGGATTGTTGAACTGAAACTTTGCCCATGGAATTGACGACAATATATAGTCATAGCATATAACATCTATCTGATGTAAAGTGCTCTGAGTTCCTGCCCGGCAGAGTGTTTGTCTTTCGACCTGCCGCTGATAAGTGTTTAGTGCTGTTTTTATTTATTTTAATTTAATTGCAGTACAAAACAAGGCAGTAAACACACCGAGAAGCGTTACTAAGTCACAGGCGGACGGCCGGCCGGCCGGCGGGTCGATCGAGCGGAGGAGCGGGGGAGCAGAGGAGCGGACAAGCGGTCGGTCCAGCAGACGAGGCTGTTGTATCACTGCTATAAATAGCAACCTTTTTTGGATTTGTGCGAATAGTTTTAATGACCGGAGGCAACCCGAAAGCAAAACCCAGCAACTGGGTAAACACACACACACACATACACACACACACACGCACACACGCAGGCACACACACATTTCACTCTCATGATACTGGCGTATCTCGTTCGAGATGCCGCAAAAACAAAAACTGAAAACTGAAAAGTGTTTTTGGGGGCCCCCAAGTGGCAGCAAAGGCAAGGCAGAAGCTGATAAACGTGCCACATGCGGCATGGGACGAGTTTCAGGTAGTGTCTCAGGTTGAGATTGTGGCTCGCATTAATTTTGTTGCCTCTGCGGCATTTCGTGGGGCTCACAATCAAGTGAACAGAATGAAACGAACGGCGGGACAGATGGACAGACGAACGGACGAACGGACGGACAAACGAATCGTGGGTTATCTTCTTTTCATGCTGCATTCAATCAAATGCTAAAATGATTGAAAGACTTCTCCATGCAATTGATGATAGTGGGAAGAAGAGTCTGTGTGTGCGACAGAGAGAGGGAGTGAGAGAGAGAGAGAGAGAGAGAGAGGTAGAGAAGGAGGGTGAATCAGTAAAAGATGCTCGTTTAATGAAGAGACCAGACTATTCAAATGCTTTCAATCAACTGTTGAAATGATTGGGCAACGAACGAATGCAACTGGGGCTAGAGGTTGAAAGATTAGAGATAAATGTTTTCTCGAGAGCTATCTTTGTATTCTAGTAAAGAGTAGACTATAGAGAATAGTAAAGAGTAGACTATAGAGAATAGAGTAAGTATTTAGTGTTAAATGCTTTTACTCAAATGCTGATAAAATTGAAGAACGTCAGAGAAAAGTGTGAAATTTTTCTTCTTTGAAATGCACTTTCTAGTTGTAAATGGAAATGTTTTCAACCTATTGAAAAATATGGAAATAGTTGTGCTCATTGAAAATTTAGAGAGTTGTAGCTTTTCTCTCTCTTTGGCTCATCCTTCAATTCAATTGCTTTCAATAAAATCTTCAAATAATGAAAGAAAACCCATATGCACTTCCCTCAACTGAAAAGCCCATTAAGGAGAGTAAACAAGTTTGAATTCACTTGTTATGCGAAAAAAGAGAAAGGCGTTTCGGTAGGCTTTCAATCAAATGATTGAAGGACAAACACTGACAGTTGCTACAATTGATGAATCCACTTGAAGGTGACAAAGCTATTCTAGTCCACCTGCAGGCTACCTTAAAAGTCTAGCTGAAACTTTTGCTTTACATGAGCGTGAGCAAGAGAATGGGAATGGGAATGAGTATGAGAATGAGAACTGCGTGAATACAATTGAAAACTATCAATCATGCAGTTAATCGAATTGTTAATTAATCAACAACAATGACGATTGCACACTTCCGACTGCCAGTGAATGAAATGCGAATGAAATGCTGCTGCCCATAGAAAAGTATAATAAATTGTTTCGATGGTGTCGGTGTCGGTATCGGTATCGGTATCTGTATCGGTTTCGGTCTGTTTTGTGGTCACCGGATTCGAGTGTCTCTGAGCTGGATGCCCATTGCGGTTCGATTCTTTTTTTTTTTTATTATTATTTCAATTCAATGCACCGCTTGCATCAGCTCTAAATATTGACGAAATTGATGACTCGATTTAGATTATGACTATGTATAGAATTGCGATTGTGATGCATGACGGGCTCGTTCAGTATATTTGTTTACCGCATCGAGTTAAGGGTATGACGATAGACTGTTCAATTTGCCTGAAATGTGGTCTATAAACAGCGCCGTAGAGTCATAATTCGATAAAAATATTCTCTTTCCAAATTGGCATAATCAATGAATTGTTTACACATTTTCCGCCAGACAATTTACGTTTAAACATAAACAATTTAGCGAACTCTGCTGAACCCATGTTCTACGAATAAAACAGTTTTTAATTAACTCAAAAGGATTTTTCGTTTACAATATCCAAAAATTATAGCCGGTATTCCAGAAATTCGCTAGTTTATTTTATATTTATATGGAAAACGCGAATTCAGTGAGGTAAGAATTTTATAGCTGAACATTATTAGCATTCCTGATTTTTAAATCTTTCCATTTCTTGCAAAATGTATTCAGATTTGTGAATGATATATTCATACTACATTTTTGAGACTTCTAATTCGAATTATTTTTAATCAAACAAATTTGTTTAAACTTATATTTTAAATTTTAGATTTTTTAAAATATTTCAAGAATTTCTTGACAATATAAATTGCCAAAATAAATTGGAATAATTAATTCAAACTCTGTTGAACTCAATCAAGCTTTAATAGCTGAAACGTTTTATTTCATTTATATAGAATCAAATTTGATTTAACTTTTTTCTGTGTTTGAGTTTTATATTTATTAAATACTACATGGACAATATATTGCCAAAAAAAAAAAAAAATAATCATAAAGCGAACTCTGCTGAATTGAAAGCTTTTAATTTATGTTTAAACAAACCTTTTTGTGATTTATTAAAGAAGGCATTATTCTATAAACTTTTGGAAATTTTGGAGCAACATTCTTTTTAGAAGAAATATTATAAAATATCTTGGAATGAACAAGAGTTTGTAGTAGTTTTATGTAGCTGAAACAAATCAATTTTGATTTATACAGTTTGTTGGCTAAATTGAGCAAAACTTGCCTAAAATATTTGCAGCTAAATTTTCGGCGGAAAATATAATGGGAAAACTTTTCATAATGTGGCGGAAATTGTAGACAAATTTTGTTATATGAGAGTTCAATTATGCGCTTAACTTGGCTTTCTCTTAACCCAACTGCATGCTCTCTGTCTCCTTCCCCCCTCTCTCTCCTTCGCAACACTCCGCAAACTTTCTTATCCAATACACCTTTTCCCATACTCTTTGTCTTTTGGGGCTTGGGCTTTGCTTTTCCATCCAACTATCTAATGGACACATATTTACTCATACTTATTTCCAGCTAATATTTCTGTTTGCACCAGGTGTACTTATGTACGGTACGCGAAACTGTAATCTGTATTTGTGTGTGTGTTTCATTCTCGACCTCTCTTACTGTCCCCTATTTGTCTCTCTCTCTCTCTCTCGCTCGTTGTCTCTCTTTATCGCTCTTGTTTTCTCTTTCACTCTCTCAACATATTTGTGTAGATGACTAAGGTTTGATAGCACTTGAGCTCTACGTAGTACACTTCGTTTCGCTCTGAGGTCTTGAGCGCTATGTTGTCTGCTTAAAAATTAACAACAACAACAGGAACAACTGCTACAGCTACAAAAACAACCACAACAACAACAACAACGATCTATGAGCATAATGGAGCTTTGTAGCCGACAGCGATAAGTACTTGCGTCTGCTGTTTGCGCCGTCTGTTCCCTCGCTTACTCTCCATCTCTATCTCTCTCACTCGCTCGGGCTTTCGCTCTCTCTGCCCACCCACCCTCTCCTAACAGCCTGCTTCAACACTTGGCGTTTCATAGTCAAGACTTTGGCAGCATTTTTTTCGTATTTACTTTTTTGCTTTTTTCTTTTTTTTTTTTTTTTGTAAGTAAGTTTTTACCTCGAAAGCAAGATGAGCTTTATGATTGCCATAAATTTCACTTGAATGCGAAATCTGATGCATCTATTTCATGCCTTCGCTTTGCGCTTTTTAACTGTTGTTGTTGCTGTTCTTTTTTGTGCTTTTGTTGTTGTTGTTGCTGTTGCTGTTTTGTTTTGTTATTTATCTTGAGATGCTACACATGCAAAACAGCAGCAGCGACGTCGAAGTTGACGGTCTTCGCTCTTATGCAAGTGTGTGTACATATGTATGTGTGAGCGAGTGAGTGTGTGTGTGTGCATGTGTGCTGGCGTATTTACTCGTGTTCGCGTACAATAATTTCACGTTCAACAACTTTTGGCTTTTTTGATGAGCCAGCAGCAAAAGCAAAGGCAGCAACAGCAGCACCACTTGAAAGAGCAGGCGAGAGGGTGGCAGCTGCTGGGTAAGAGGGTGTGCATCTGTGTGTGTGTGCTGCTGCTGCTGCTGCTGCGGCTCGACTGTTGCCATAGCTACCGCAGCAAATTAAGTTCGTCATCTCTTTTGCACGCATTGCAACCGGGCCAAAACATAGGCAGCGCTTTGGGCTCTGGGCTGGCCGGCTCATCGGTTATGCTCTAGACATTTTGCCTTGGTCTGTGTGGATCCGATCGCCCCTAAATACATACATACATACACTTGCAGCTGGGCATAATTGCTTTCCTTTCAACTTTGCAGCAACGGCGCAGTGCGAATTGTAAGCCAGAAGAGACTTATCTGATTGCTTATATCAATAAGATAGCCGAGTTGATAGGAATGTATGGCTGTGCGTGAATTGCCATAGATAAAAATATAAGACGTTAATACCAGTAGTAGCTCAGCAGCGCTATGTAAATATCAGTCTGATGTCATCCAAAGGTTAAAACAGGGCAATATCTTTTACATTGCACGGTAAGCTAATTAGCTCTACACACACAGACACACTTATGTATATAGATATAGAAAACCTTTGTTTGCGTTATCTAAAGCTTTTGCCGGAAACAAGAGAGGACCCAAACACAGGGATATTATCTCAGCGAAGAGGGAAATTTATTTAAAAATTTAAATATTTATAATAATTTGTTATCAGACTCTGAACGTCTGAAGATCATTTATCATCACTTGAGAAGGGTTGCCAAAATTCCAAAAACAGAACAGCAGCCGTTGATTGGCAGCGGGCAATGCAAATCTTGAATTTATATAATTAATCATATTAATATAATCGGATTAAGCGCCGATCGCCAATTTAATATGCGCTTAAACCTTAGCTGACACTTTCAATTGATATCAACTTATGTATGTCTCAGTTAGAGTTTTATTTTCGACCTTTACTCTGCCAAAAAATAAGAAGAACAAGAAGAGGAATTTACCGCGCAAAGAGTATGAAAGCTTCGACTCTTACGCGGAGAGTAAGCTTTACTTTCTTGTTGTTGGTGTTTTTGCAGTTATTTTTTGCTGTTCTGTTTTGTATTTGCTCTGGTTTCTGCGACGGCTCAGCTTACTTGGCAGCCATGAAAACCGCCGCCACCTCTGCCTCTGCCACTGCCGATGGCGATGCTGCTGCTGCTGCTGCTGTTGCTGCTACTCCACTCAACTAGTTCACGCTTTACGCTTTAATAGAGTTCCATTGCTCATTTTTGGTACTTTCGGATAATGCGACCACAGCATACGCACGTACACACTCCCAAGCTCACACATGCATACACACACCCAAAGATACATACAATTATTCGATCATTGCTCGTTTATTGAGCGATATATTTATTTGCTTCCACCTTTTACGCATGTCGCTTTGCGCTTTTAACCTTGATTTTGTGTAAACAAAATACAAAAACACACACACACATACATACATACACAGCTGTGCAGCATATTTTCATTTGAATGTATGCGTACCGCTGCTGCTGCTAAGCTAAAAATTTAAAAACTTTTGGTTTTGTGTGCGTTTTTCATATGTGTGTCTCTCTCTCTCCCTCTCTCTGTGGTGTACAATTGAATGTTTGTGTGCGTTTGTTTAGTTTCTCGTTTACTGTACATTTATTAAGTTACCTATTTATAATTTGTTTATTATTTAGCGAAATGCCAATGAATAATGTTTAAATATAGTTGGCGACCAAAAATCAAATCAAAATGAATGAAATGGAATGGAACGGAACTGGAAACCTTAGCTCCATAATATAAACAACATATTTCTGTTTCTTTTAGCTTAGTTTTTCTTATTTCTTATTTGTTTTTGTTAATACACAATCACACACAAACACACCTACATACACACAGTGACTATGTGACGTTATGCGCTGCGCTATGCTCATTTAATTTTCTGTGATATTATTAGATATGCTCTATCTTATCTAAATAGCATACAGTTATGTCTCTCTGCATGCGAGTGTGTGTGTGTGTGTTTRTACGTCTGCCTTACTATCCAAGGCCCCAGCGCACTAGAGAATCAATAGAAAAAGAGCTAATGTTGGCTTATATAATCGGCTATAATATGTGCATAGAGAGCACAACATTTATAAGGTGCGGGAGCCCTTCACTTTGCTAACTGTGCGGCGACTGTGCCCATGATTTAGACGCAAACGTAAAATGCCATCTCACTTATACACTTATACTTATATAGATTATGTGCACAATCTGTGTGGAATGTGGCTGTGGTAGCGGGGGCCGGAGTCAAAGAGAGGGAGAGAGAGAGGTAACGAAACGCTCTACACACCTGCCACGTAAATTTTGTAAGCTCTCCCAATATTCAGAGCATAAATATCGTTTCTTTTGTATGTTCGCTTCTCCGCTGCTGCGCCCGACGACTTCACATGCTGCGGCTCACGGCTTCTGTGGCTCTGTGCAGTTTATTCACTTTGCACCTCTATATTACACCTTCTTTTATTAATATTACTATTTTCTTTGCTTGCGCGCTTTTATTTTATTTTTCGCTCTCGCGTCACTGCACTTTCTATATTTTGTGTAGTTGCTAGATTACATTTAGTTACGTTTCTTTATATTTTGTTTGCTGTAGTAGATCTTAGAGCATCTCTCTGCTGTCTCACATCACATCACAGCGCTCACTGACACCGACTGGTCCAAAATTCTTGTGCTCGTGCCCCTTTTGGCTATCACTCGGTAACTAAACCGTTCAAGTTTGCGACATACAATTTTAAGCTCGTCGAGTTGCCCGTCCTCTGCTCGACGCTCGACGTTCGACGTTCGACTTTCGTTGTTCGACGCTCAATGCTCAGCTCTCAACGTTCGACGCTCGACGTGATGATCGCGTGGCGGCAGCGCACAGTGGTTGCGCCTCAAGCTTTGAGCGCACAAAAATTGCTGTCAAGCTTTTTGCATAGGTCAACGGCAGCGAGCTTCTTGCTGCGTCGCAGACGACGCAGAGCAGAGTAGAAAACAATAATAACACAGCTTAGTCAAACGTCAGCTGATCGCCCACTGTGAGCCGGTTTTTGCGCTCTCCTCCACTCATCCACTCCCCCACTCGTTCGCTCTTTCACTCTTTCGCTCCCATTATAAGTGGTCAGTGCCGGCTAACCGGCTACTAGCCGGCAACCTGTGCCCTCACTCTCTCGTGCTCTCACGTTCGCACTTACTCTCTCGCCCGTTACGCTCTTCAGCTGAAAGCTCCCGTGAGCTTCGGATAAACAAAACATTGCATGCATAATTAAGTGTGGACGTTTGTATATACATACATACATATGTACACATGTATTTATGTATTTCTGTATGTAGCTGTGCCTTTGTGTATGTAGGCAATTCTTTTTGGCAAACTCTTAACATGCGTCGCAAACAATTTTCGAGCACGCCATAAATTTTCACACACAACACTCAAAAATGGTGCCGCTAAGGAATTTTTTTGGTGTGCGTTGAGTGGTGCATCACACGCACTCGTCACGTGCATTCATTTCATTTCATTCCATTTCCATTCGAATTCCACGACCGATCGATCAATTACACTCATATATACATGCATATTAAAAGATCGTTGCCTTCATTGCCGATTTCCAGGCCAAGGCGTGTGTGAAATGCAAATGCAAAATGCAAAATGCAAAAATACAAATGCTGCATATCACGCCAACAACAGCAACACCAACACCCTCGCCCTGCCGGATTACTGTACCGAAGAATTACAATCGAATATGCATATTTTAATGTTTTCCTTGGCATTTGCCACAAGTGCCTGCAGAGCGCGTTCAGGTGACTAATTGAGCAGATCAAATCGCCCACAATGACTAATCGTTAGGTGTTGTCATGGCGCAAAAATAAAGCTAGCTACAAATCCGATATGGCAATATGAAGATGTTCTCAACTGTGAGGGATTGAGCATGGCTTGATTAAGATAGATGATGAGTGTCTAGAGAGTAATGCAAGTAAATATTCTATAGAGATTTGCAATAAATGAAGATTAACTAGAATATTTGAGACATTGTAGAAGGTTTCCTAATATCCCATTCGAATCCAGCATTCCAGAAACCCATACAAAAACCATATTCCCGTTTCTTGTTTACAGAATATTCCCTTCCCCTTGTTAGCCTGTGGGCCTAGCTTGATTGATAAGCTATGCTTCATTCATAATTGATACTTAATATGCCTGCCAATAAATAGTTCTCTGCGCAATGATAATAATAATAATAATAATCATAATGAAAATATTAATGATTGAGCTATTGAGGGCATTTGTTATTGTTAATGTCCGACGATTTTGTCAAGTTTCGTTATGGTTATTGTTGAGTTGTTATGATCTGATAATGGCGCTCAGTTGTATTGTAGCTTAGCTCTGGTGTGGCGCCCCCACTGCCCCGCCCTAGTTCGGCTACAATTGCCGTTATATCCATAGTTTATTTCATTGTGCATTTGGCTTAACAATTTTCATGGTCAGTTGCCTCCGGTGCGACATAAACTGCCACAGATAACAGCAAAAAGGCAGCCAAATCCGTATAATGAAATAAAAAGACATAGCCAAATAAAGCGACGACAAGACGACGTTGGCGAGAGGAGGACGGGGTGACAGGGTGACGGGGCGAGAGGACGACAGGGTGACAGCAAAGCCAAAATGAATAGCAGCAACAATAGCAACAGCAACAACAACAACAACATCGATTTCACTTTAACGAGCTTGTAATGTCCCTAAGACGAGAGTAGTATATAAAAAGCGTTATGTATACGCCATGTGTGCCACGCTCAGCTCGACTGCTGGGTGTATCACAGTGTCTTAGTCTCTGTTTCTTCGTGTCTGGCTGTGCATGTGTATGTGTGTGTGTGAATGAAAACTTTGCTGAGCTGCTGTCACATCCTAATAGGATAATAACGAGCCAAGGCAAGCGAAAGTTGTTGCGCCTGCAACTTCCAAATAAAATATGTAGCCAAACAATAAACGATGATAAGGGGCCAAAGAACGTGTCGTTCGCTCAGCCTTTTCCCACCAACACACCCAGAGAGAAGAGAACGAAATGAGAAATGAAGAAGCGAAAACACCAAAGAGCAACGCCTCAATCTCATCCCTGCAGTCATTATATGCCAGTTCACTTAGATGCCGCCGAATTGGTTGCTGGCTGCTGGCTGCTGGCTTGTCCGAAAGGACAACGCCCGCTACAGAAACTGATAAGCAAACGACTTGCGGCAAAGTGCGCGTATAATGCCCAGCCTAGATCCATTCCATAAAGAAAAACACAACTCGGTACTGCAGCGGGTCATGGATGACTGCATAATGCTCGCGCGCTGGCAGAAATGCTAGGGGATCTATGCTTGAGCATTGGCCTAGACTGGTCAACCTAGACTGGTTAACCTAGACCAATCAGCCTATGCGAATTGCAAGACTCTACACAACTTGTATTTAATTAAAATTCACAACTCTACATAAATAACTCAATTTTCCATATTAGCTTGCGCAATCCCATATACTCGCCTCGCTACGCCGAGCGAGCATGAGAAAAAGTCCCTGAAGTGAATGGGATGCGATGCGATGGGATGCGATGCGGCTTTTCCACTTGCCCATATGGTGGGTTAGGCGGGGTTGGGCGTGCGATGTTGTTGTTGATGTTGATGTTGATGTTGGCGTAGTTGGAAGCCGGATAGGCGTTGCTTGTAGCTGCCAAATGGTAATTTATGGGCGGTACGCAGCCAAACGGGTAGGCGGCTTTAAAACGGTTCCCTAAATCGCAGTTCGGTACGGCGCTCGACTGCCGGCTGCTGGCTGCTGTTGCTGCTGCTGCATACCAATGCCAAATTGAATTTGGCCAGGGATAAAGCAGCGCGAACGAATGTCTCTTTAGCGGCCCAAATCCTATTTGTACATCATCTCAAAGGTGGCTTTAAAGGATAAACTGCAAAGTGGGAATTGACTACGGCAACTGGCTAAGGCTTTGTAGAGCTGTTTTGTATCTAAACGCCCCGCTGGAACTACTACAAATATATCCAACTATATGATGCATAGCAAATTGCCAAGTGTTGAATTGTGGAATGTGGGTGTTATGGATGGACGAGGATAAGGTGTAATTTGCAGGGTACTTTTTGGGATAGGACTGCAAATTGGCATTTGAATGGGAAAGTGAGGGGGTTAGCTTGGCTCAGATGAAATATTACTCAGAATATAAGGCGAGACCTAGTTGGTTATCTATAGAGTAATATTTCGTTTGTAATCTAGAAAGTCTAGGCTATCTTTGTATATGGATCAACTGGGAAACAGCTTTTAAGGAAATACCGCTAATTCAGTTATCTCTTATTACAGATTTTTGCGGATAGACGTGATAGGACTTTGGTTTCGATGTATTACTTTTTTGTATAGCTATAGCAGCTAGTTAACTCTTCTATCTCGGAAGTCTGTGAGCTGTTTTAACGGAATCAACTAGAAAGCATAGACCCAATGGCCTCTAGACCTGATAGCAGTTTCGGTAAGCTCAATAAGTTTTATTATTTAATATTTAAGAGCATATATTTTCCATCTTTTTTTCAGTTTTCCATAGAGAACACCTGATGAGTCTTCATTCTTCACTCAACTCAACTCTTCAGCTGCTTAGAGCAAGCAAACCCGTTCAAGTTTTCCCTCGAGCTTGAGTAAAGTCTTGAAACTCACGGATAAATCTGTGAATTACACAGTTAACTCTAATGAGCGCATTTTATCGATACTTGTCTTCTYCTTCTGCTGCTGCTGTTGCTCGCTTCCTTTTTATTAAGAAACCCAACAGATTTGCTAGTGATTACTGGTTTTCCCACCCACACTCAAGGCGGCCCATAGACATCCGCATGGTAGTGTGAGTGAGTGTGAGTGAGAGATGAAGGCGAAAATCATCTCGACAGCTGAACAAACAAGTCATAATTTGACGAGGAAATCGCTGCCATTGCTGCGCATCCTGCTTCCTGCTGCCTCCACAATTTTCCTGTGTGTATCGTCCCTTTTTTTTTCTACTGCCGTCATTTAGCCGTTAGGAAAACCCCTAAACGTTCATTGTTCAAAAATCCAAAAAGGAGTTATTTCTCTAGTCCCACACACACACGCATGTGGCAATCCGTAGCACTCACATCTTCATTTCCCTATCCTGTTCATCAGCTAGCAAAATGTCGCTCATTTATTTTGATTACCTTTTGCAGAGCGGGTAAAATGCCAACAGATTTTTCTCTCTTACTCGATGCGTTTTTCATTTCTTCATTACGTTTTATTTTCCAGAGCATACACTTTTAATATACCCTGTCCATTTGTGGATCATCTGGACGAGTCCGATGAGTCCAAGGGGGGCGGATTTCTATTTGGCTTAGTTGTTCGGCTGCTGCTGCTTCTTCTTCTGTCTTCTGGCCAACTTGAATTTTAGTTAAGAGCTGAATCATGGCCATCAGCGTTGATGAGCTCTATTCCCCGGTGACACTTTTCGCTTCGTACAAATTTAGTGTGGCAAATTTAGCACACAGACACACACACAGAGAGAGAGGGAGGAGAGAGGGAGGGAGGCRGAGACACGCGCCACAATGGGCAATGGGCAATAATAAAGTTGCTAGAGTTGAGCGAGGATCCTTGTTGGCTCGTCTCGTCCTGTCTGGGGGTCCATGTTTCCGTTTCGTCTTGACTTTTGTTTGCCATTCTTGCCAAAACGAAATTCCATTATGAATCCTTGCTCATTGTTTTGTGCAATGTCGGTTTGTGGGTTTATCA